AAGTGTAAACTTGGCGTCCTTCAAATAAACTAAGTTTAAGGAAGCTGTTTCGATGAGAAGCCACTAAAAGCTTGCGTAGTTCCAGCTTCTATTTTCATTCCGCAAAATTAAATTTGGATACCATATATCAGTTAATTAAGAATCCCCAGACTAGTTTCCAACTCTTTCACTGACATTTTTTCTACCTGAATACTTTAATCAACCTTTAGCCTTTTATATCAACACTCAAATATAAAATTGGAGCGTCAACCAAACTGCTGGCGTTATATCATTCAGTCATTCCTGTCGTTAATTAATTACTTGTTACGGTTTGCTTTAGTTGCGCGGACAAGTTGGTTACGGTCATTTTATTCAGTATACGCTTATCTGCATTTATAATACTCATGTCTTTCTATTAAAGTCTATTGCGTCCGATTGCAGGTTTGTCGTACATAAACAGTGCCCACACGGGTCTTGGAAAAAATTATTATTATTGACATATGATGCACAGATTCCGTTGCAGTCCTCAAGTTAAAATGAACAGGTCAGCTTTTATTGACCGTAATTTAAGGACTACATTACTGTTTGCTTAATAGAAACCCACACTGGCGCATTTTAAATATATTGTTAAATGCTCAGGAATTTAGTGGAATCATAGACTAGGTTCTTCAATTTTTTGGATAGATGACCAACGTTTTCGCATTTTAAGAAGGACTGGAATAGATAACTGTCTGAAAATCCAAAGATATTGCAAATTTATTTCTGAACCCTGCTCAACCTCATTGTTTTAATACACCAGTAGTATAAATAACGTTACGACCCAGAAAATACGAGTTATTCAAAATGGCACAGCGCGCACACATTCGACACGGGCTGGAACTGGTTCATTGGAACATACGAGACGTACGCACTTGAAAAATAAAATTTTTGAATAGCTGAAAATAAGAACTTTTTGACAGATGGTTGCCGTTGAAGTTTACATTTTATTAACATGTTAATTTAAATAAGCCTATTTAATCAATTTCGTACATAGTATATCCCAGTATGCCGCAATTTTTTTGTGAAGATCATCGTTCAAAATGTCTAGAGCTTTCTCAGACTCCATGAAAGGAGTAAAGTGCTAGCGTGTGAGCTTTGACATTCATTTATATACCTTAGAGTCCGCGAATTTATATTATATTTTATTTTTTTTGTTAAGGAACTGTGGTTTTAATAGTTTAATGTCAAGTGTTCTTATTTATCCATTTTCTTTGTAACAAACTGTGTCCTTCTTTAAATCCAAACTACTGTTATCTATCTCCATTTAAACAAAGAAAGAGTCTTTTCTTTGGAAAAATTTGGTTTACTAATTTTCCTCGATAGCCATTTATTGATGATCGTCAGCGACCCTAGTTTGACCTCAGAATGTAAACTAATAAATAAAGTGGGGGTATTCTGGTTGAAATCAGCAAACAGTTATTCACAAGGAGCAAGTGTCGGCTCTGGATGGTTCGTAAATTTACAAAAAGGGCATATATGCTATCATTGTCATCAGGCAAATGAGGTTTCCTGAATGTCTACCGTAGTGACATACGTTGTGGTCCTTTACCTATATCAAAGACAAAGTTAAATTAGAGACAAGAAAATTGAGACACAAAAATCAGACTGTATGCATTAATTTACTAGCTTCTTAAAATTCTTAAGCATACTCACTTACCGTGAGTCCGTCGCGTAACGACTTCTTTTGGCAAACCATACGGATAAAATAATTTTGTGATTGGTAAGTAATTTGCGAAATGAAATCAACTTACCACATTTTTACCATTTCAGGAAGCACAACCAATACGCTTATTGCTTGAGTACGTGGAGGCATCTTATAAGGAGGTGCGGTACGAGAAAGATGAGAAGAGCAAATGGCTTAAGAACAAGGAAAAAGCAAAGCTAGATTTTCCAAGTGTTCGCTTTTTTTCAAATTTATTTGGATTTAGTTACCATATTTCGTTGACGAAGACCTAAAAATAACAGGATCTAATACAATCTTGCGGTATCTGGGCGAAAAGCATGGATTTGGTACGAAAGATGCCGATAATATATTTTTATGTAACAGGAGGCAAGACGCCGAAGGAAAATGCACAGCTTGGAGTGGTGGAATGCGCACTAAATGACTTAAGACAAGAGTTGCTCCTAGTGGCCTACAGCGTTGACTACGTACCTCTTGTTTTATAAATGCTTGTAATATGTTTTTTTAGTCTAAAGCAAGAGATAATTTCATGGAGTCATTAAAAGAAAGATTACAAAATATATCTAAATTTATTGGAAGCAAAAAATTTGTGATGGGTGACCAAGTATTTTGCAAATGATATCCGTGCTTATAATGACTCGTTTGTTAGATAAAGTATGTGGATTTTAATCTATACGAAATACTGGAAGTTTGTGAATATTTTGACAAGGCCACCTTTGGTGCATTTGCCAATTTAGTGGATTACAAGAAACGTTTTGAGGTGAGTTTATAATTTTTTTAAACATGAAACCTTTTTTAAAATTACTAACCGTCGCTTATTAATACTTTATTCTTGACTCAACAGGCACTTCCTAAAATCAGCAAGTACATGAAGTCCAAAAGTTTCATAAAATGGCCCCTATTTACATGGATTGCCTCGTTTGGAGGAGGTTCAGTGGCACCCGCTGAAGCTTCATAAGAGTATCGTCGATTGTCCAAAACTAGCATCATGTACTTCTTTAAAATAACTCCTTTATAAAATACAAGTCTTTTTGCCATAAACTCCAGTTTACATTTAACTGAAACAACCTTTATTGGGTGGACCTCTGTTAGCAATGCAAGTTGTTTTTGCCACGGTCGCCGAATATTAGTGATTTACAGCATATGATGGACGTGCATCATTCAGTGTTAGCGGATAACAATCAAACACTCTAATTTGGTGAAAGAAGAACTGGCATCTATGGTTCATAGGCATTATTTCTACGAATTATCTGCTTGAAATATAACAATACTTTAAATGAGAAAGTGACACTGTACGAAAAGCGCAATTTTTAAGAATAAACTCAGTGAGATTAGTAAAAGAACCTTTGTCATTATAGGTCACCGTGAATCATTTGCACGATTTAACTCTATGTGATACTGATTGCCAAAAAGGCTCTTAACAGCCAGAAAATACAGGGAGTTAGCTACGTGAAAGATTTTTGAAGTTTATAAAAGTAGCAAACTCACTAAGCTATCAAACATTCTCATAGAGTATTGTGCCATCATAAACAAGGACTGGTACCCATTTACAAAGAACAACGCAAAAACCTCGGACATTGATGTTGTGTCTTATCACAGCTTTTAACTTAGTGGAACAACGTTGAATCTACAAAACCCTGAAAGAAAATTTGCACAAAATGAAAATAGTAATAATAAAACCAGTGGAAAATATATAATAAAAATAAAAACCTATACTTTTCTCAATTAAGTGCCTTAAGAGAGCAGATACCTATCGTATTTGATTTTCGATGCCGGTAGAGACATTGAAGATTGTTAAGGAGGTTTGGCAGAGTTGCTTAATTCAGTTGACCCAACCATGGCAAATTCGCAGCGTGGGTGGGAGTCTAACCCATACAACAGGGAAGGCTTTTGCGCAGCAACCGCCCTACCATTGGCTATGAGGTTCACCGTGCGCCGTGAGCTACGCAAATCTCCCAAACTTCTTAACAATAAAGTGAGTATAGTAATCATTCTGGTGGATTCTAGATGATTGCTTAGAAAATCTTGTCTGGGCATTCCGCTAGCTATTCTGTAATGGTGGATTCCATACAAGCAGTATATTGGACGTGTAAAATCAACCCAAGTGTGATTAAATTCACGGCGCAAGGTTAACCGCATAGCTGAATGGTAGAGCGTTGGCTGCGCAAGAAGCCTTCCCTGCTGTGTGGGTTCGACTTCCATCGAGGCCGCGAATTTTTCATAATCGGGTCAACTGAAATGGAAGATTTCCGAATGGCCCTTCACATTAAAAACCAATAGGACTTAAAATACACATTGATCGAATATTTAGAGTGGATTTGTTCTCACATTAAATTTTGGTCGAAATTCTGAAATGTGTTATTGTTTCAGAAAGTTTGTTTAGCTATTTATGTAATATTAAGTATCCTGCAGCACAATCCTGAGAAATATCAGAATTAAGGTTAAAATTTCGTGAATTGTTTGTAGCTGCAGTTCACCAGTTTGGCCTCCGCAATCCACGACTCAATGAAAACTCCTCAATAAGAGACTGCAGCAGAGGAACTTAAATAACTATTTGTGCTGCAGAGTTACTAACAAGTATTGGTAGTCACGACCAGATGTGTCTTTAGTTCCGAATGCGGATTTAATTTTGGCATGATTACAGCGACCGTTATCAACCCACATTTCAAGTAGGACATTTTACAGGCTTCGTATTTTAAACGTTGGTACACGCATATATCCCTAGGATCAATTCGTTTCTAGATATATGTAAGTTCTGCATAAGGAGCCATGTCTGTGAATTTGGGATGTTCTTCCTTCTTTGGTGGTATTATTCCAGAGGTATTTGGATTGTGATTTCCTATTAGAACCTAAAATAGTGTTGCAACACAAAAAGGAGGTATTTTTAAACGCCATTTTGGGCATAGTGGTTAGTAGGATCGAAGAACAAATCACCCGGTTTTTATTTATAGGATGGCTGGTTGATACTTGCAGCAGAATCCCCTTTCCTTCTTAATTTCTATTGAATTTAGTGCGTAAGGCGCATGGTCTTTGTTTAAGTGGGCAGATTCTACGGACACAATTGTTCAATCACCTTAAGATTTCCAGTCCGGCTAAATATTTTAGATTGACTTGTAGCCTTGCTGAGCTAAAAATCGTTCTGTATTTTTGTTCCGTGGGCGTTTAACTTTAAGTTATTCTCACCTAGTGTTTAATCTTTGTCAAAAGCAATACTATTCGTCGTCGTGGATCGAAACCGATAAGCATATGATGGAGAAGCGTTCACTGACCGAGTTACGAGACGTTTTTCTGTTGTTGTACCATGGTGGTCACTCTCAAGTCCAAGACGTTACCCTATCTAAAGTTGGGTATGGTCTCTTCCGGCCTTCCTTAGCTTTGTCGGCGATGCCCTTCTGACAGGAAAGATGTCGACCTTTTTTCGAATTTTCCGTATCGATGCACTACCTTCTACGTCATACCACGAATATACTAGGTGGGAATTTGTAGCACGAACTTCATACATGCATAAGTTGCAGTCTGCGGAAGAATACCTGTCACCTTAGAAGTTCATTTTTTTGGGGAAAATGATAAGAAACCTGCAAATAATTGACCATCGAGAATGCATTAGATTGTTGTTGATGAACTTTTACCGATCACTAACGGAACTCACTCGTCCCGCCATGTCTTGGGTTCCATTCTCGGTCTCTTACAACAGCCGCACAGCGGGTAGTAATCTAGGAAGACAGCATTGCCAGCAAAGACAAGGGAGACTGCAATAGCCATTTTTGTCTTATTTGCCGTCTTCAGCCATTCATACTCAAGCACAAGTAGTGCACCACCCGAG